AAGTCGCCCAAAGTCCCAGTGAAGATAACGTCATGTCATTATCCAAGGCAGCGGTTTCAAGCAGTTCATGCCACATCCACGATCTAAAAATCTCAATGGTATGGAGTCGTGTGGTGACAGTTATAAATGACAGTTTTGGACATGTTGGCCATAATAAAGAAAATGGGTGGTTTCAAACAGTTTCTAAACGATTAAAACCGCCCAAACCATATAAAAGAAGAGGAAAACAACGAAGAGAGCCCCGACAAAATTCACTCTCAAACAGAGAATATGTAATTTACTTTTTCTTAGATTAACTTTAATTATTTCAATTCCCTTATACTTGTGTGCTTGCGCCCTTTGGAGACATCTTGTTCGCGTCCAAACTGTAATCTTCATATTCAATAAACACTCATTTTTGGGACTTTGTTCCAAGAGGTTTGTCCCTTACACAATCGTCTGATCCCTTTTTAATTGTTAGCGAGTAAAACGCGCGAAACAGACCGACCCAAAAATAAGGGGTTGAGGTGCCAGTCTCCTNGCGCTCCTTGGAGGCATCTTGTTCGTGTCCAAACTGTAATCTTCATATTCAATAAACACCCATTTTTGGGACTTTGTTCCAAGAGGTTTGTCCCTTACACAATCGTCTGATCCCTTTTTAATTGTTAGCGAGTAAAACGCGCGAAACAGACCGACCCAAAAATAAGGGGTTGAGGTGCCAGTCTCCTGTTTTTGAGTTGGTCCCCCCACCCTCTTTGAGGAGTATGGTTGAAAATTATAATTGCTTCAACTTGTTGAAATTTATTGCTAATCATTAGGTAGAAAAATTAATCACGTCTGCTCAATACGCAGACTTTAATGATATAAAAATAAATAAAAATATTAAATTTGAATACAACTTGCCCGCTGCCCATGTAATTGGCAGAGACTGTATTAATTTTTAATTAATTATAAAAATAAAAAAACATACATCTTGAGTTTATAAAATTGAATTATTGATTCTCCAAATATGTTATTGTAAATTATATGATTAATTTGGAGCGGGGCATGTTTGGGAGTGCTTATAAATGAGTGGTAGATGAATAAATACGAACCAATTGCAGATTAAATTATTCTCATTTATTTATTTATTTTTAAATGTAATTCAAATTTATAGACCAAAAAATAAATTAAAATAAAAGATTAGGTGGCGGGATTGAGGGTTGGTTATTTTTTCATATAATGTTCATCTCACGATCTAAAAGCGTGCATGCGAATCATTAATAAACACGTCTTGAGAGATTAATAATCTAAAAGCGTGCAAGCATCAAGTGCACAAGCAAGTACTTTACACTCCCCTTGTCCCAATTATATAGGATTGTTTCGTTTTTCACACCAATTAAGAAATTTTTTTTAATATCATTGAAAAATTAATTTTTGTCAAGATCTTTCTTAATTTACTCATATTTAATTTTCAGTATGTAAAACTAAATTATTCTTGGAACTAATAAAGAATTTGAAAAGAAGAAGAAATGAAAGTTATTCCATATTTTCAAGAAGTGGGAAA